AAACCCTCACTGTAAGAAATTTTCCACTTATCTCCGTTATTGGCCTTGCCCTTTGCGATTGTCGCAATATTTTGTTTCCGTTGTTTAACTAGAGCCTTTGCCGACACCAAGAAGAGCGTAATCAACTTGCTTGAGACCAAAATTTGGTTATGTGCACTAAGTTGAAAAGTAGGTTTAAAAAAAAATAAAAAAATAAAAAAAAAAGATTATCCTTTTGCAACTATATATTGACTCTCCTGTTTATCTGTCCTATTGCAATTGTATATAAAATTTCAATTCCGATGAACAATACCCTGTCAGAAAAATTTCAAAGCTAAGAATTTGGAATTTTGTGACTAACGAACCACATCGTATATTGGTATCCATAGGTATCTCCTGTGTTATTATAAATCATTTTTATGAACTTTGAATCACTCTGTATTTATCTGTTAAATAGTCACTTCTCTGAGTTTTGAACTTCATGTATATATGTATAATAATTTAAAGATGACAGTTACAAAAAAGCAAAATATGGGTGATGATATTAAAGAAGCAGCAACTCCGGGCTGGTGATTTCTCCTTCTGTAAAGATGCGTTCATGACATAGTAACGGATCGTCTTCCTTTAGGGGTAATTCGTTGCAATCAAACTTAGTACTACATTCCGACTCGCTAAGACATGAGAACCCGTTGTTAACAACGCAAAGGATGAGTTTCGCATATCAGCAGCATTACGTTAGACCAAAATGCAAGATTGGGGGATACAATTGAATGCCGGTTTGGTGTAGCAGTTTTAATGGCCAATAGTGTCAAGACATAAGGTAAATTCTTCCTCTCACGTTATTATGGATAATTTGTAATCTAGAGTGCAAATAATATAAATGAAAGATAAGTAAATTATTGATAACAAGATATGAAGCCTTGAATAAAAGAATAGTAGTATTTTGAACAGGTAAAGTTTTATTCTTCGCTGCCAGGTAAAGTAGCATTTTCATTTTGGCATATAACCCATTAAAAGCCTTGACTAGATGTACGCCGCTTAAACGTACTTGACAAGTTTGATGCAGTCCATAAATATTCTTTTTCCTGGTGGAATCACGTTTATGCATTGGGATTTTCTTTCTCAGCCGCCGTATGTAGTGTCTTATACATCTTATGAGAAGATGATGGATGAAAAGTGAGGTGAGCGTCCAGATATTTACTTGCTAGCAAACAATGCATTTTACTCCAGAAAAAGGTTAAGATCAAAGTAAAAAAATTTCGCTTCCGAGTGAAGCTTTTATGTAAGTGCCCGTATCAGTATCGTATAATATAGGTCAGTTTAGAGATATTTATTATAAGCAGTTACTAATTTTAACAGGGAAAGGGGAAATAACCAAATTAAATCGAACAGTTAAAGAATAATTAGAAATTAAAATTGAAATAAATACATTATTACTATATATAAACTCTGCATTGGCAAATTCCTCGTTTGCAATAGATAAAAAAATGCACAAAGAATTTCCCATGTGCAACCCACAGTTTTCGCGATAAACAAAACTGAAAGAAAAATATAACATCATATCCGTCACATCCCTTATGGTTCCAGTATGGTGGAGTTCCGGCTCATTTCAGCACTGTTTTACACGAGACATGCTGGGTATAGGATGCCTAGACGTGTTGGATTGGGCGTGGTGTTCGGTTTTATGGCTGCCACGATCACCAGATTTGATAGCTTTGTATTTTCTTCCTATTGAGCCATCTGAAGGAATAAATCTATAGATACCTAGTTACTACAGAAAGTGACTTAAGTTCTTATTGTAATGCTGCGTGTACTTTAGTGGGCACCTCGCTGCTGCAACGTGTGTAGTCAGCCATTCTACGGCGAGCGCATGTATGATTCTATATGCTAGCTAGTTTGAATGTCTTCATATGCAAACAAGGATGATCATGTTTTCAATAAAGTTTTTTTGTTTCCCTTATACCGGATATAACATCGACTTTTCTTTTGCATTATCTTGAAAACTATGGGCTGTACAGGTACAGTTCTATGGGCATTTTCTTATGTATTTCAAGAGAGAAGCCTGAATGCGCAGAGTTTGGGAGGCCTTGATGGGACACCCTGTATAAGTAAGCAAATGAGAAATGAATATGTGTTATGTTTTACGGCTCACATTTCAAATACAAGTTTACTTCAGCTTTCAAATCTTAAGTTGAAATCTGAAAGATTTAATTTATTGATTGAATTGTTTCTGAAAAAACAATAAAATTTTATTAAGCATTTCTATTCGTAATGATAATAATTTGATTTTGAATTTTTATGTAATGCAAATTGTGTCAAAGTACGAAGATCCATTTTGGTATCAAAATATAAGCAGAATTATGTATAATTTCGAGTTAGTTCACTTCCGTTAACAATTTCAGCAACTCAAGGTACATGTATTAATGCTGTACAGCTGCGCCAGCTGTAAACATATAACGTCAAAGAAACCAGCATCAAACTTCGCCTGTAGGCTTGCATAAAGACATCAAAAATCACATGAAATTAAATATATATCGATTTACTTGTAAAGATTTACTTTATTTTAAACCTAAAAAGAACTAGTTAGTGCGAATATAATTGTCAAAATTTAATACATTTTATAATTGAATTTGTTTTGCCTTCATATTGTTATATTTTGGATTAAAAAAGAGAACTTTAGTACTGAATAGCAAAAAACCTGTATTTGTATTAAGGTGAAATGAACAAGGCATGGTGGAAAGTGGCAAATACGTTGTGTACAATGTATCTGCCCCTTTCCCACTCTGTCACTTAATGCTATATTTTAATCACGTGGCTCACAAATAATATTGAAGTAAATTTTATGAAAGAGAAGAGCTCTTCCCCCTCCCCGTTTTCAAATAAGATTCATTTGAATACGTGAGTGTAACGTTTAGACTTGTTGTTAGATTTAGTAAAATTGGCCAACCGGAAGTGGTACTTCACTGAAGGCCATAATATTTTTAATGAAAAACTATAATAAAATATATTCCAAAACTTTGCAATTGTAATATGTAAATCATTGGATAGTTCAAGGAATTCAAAACGCGTAATATGTCCCGTAAATTTGAACACATATTAAAAAATTTCATTCAATAAACTGACACATTAGATTGTGATCTGCACTTATAACGTACTACAAAGATGAATTTTTCGGACATAAGATATATTTTAGTTCAAAATTTCAATGGCAGATGGCGGTATCATAATACAACGCAACATCATGAGCAAAATTAAGATCATATAGCATTTATCAATGGGCGCCTGATAGCAATGTTAACAACATATTAGATTTTGGCTAAAATTGATAAACTGGAAGTGATACCTTACTTGAAGCTCTGAGTAAATTTTTCTTGAACAAATATATTATCTAAAACTTCTCAAGTTTGTTACTTAAAACTAGTATATGATTCGGAGCAACTTATATTTTGACTAAGTATGATAAACCGGAACGATTAATTTACGTGGAACTCTCAACAGTTTTCATGTAAAAATATAGAATCATTATAATAAAGAGCTTAGCAAACAGGTTGGAAAAGGATTTCTTGTCTGTGGATTCTTTTAAAATCTGCATATTTTCATGTATCAATATTCTAATGCTTTATGGATATAAATTTTCGATAATCTAATGGAGTAAGCTATATTCACTCTTTTCTGTAAATTTAAAATAATTTTTGGGTGATGGGAATTCCAACTGTATTCTACAGGGTCTTTAAAATGAATTCACGTTTAATTACATCTGGAAACATCCTTTGCAATAGAAATGAATCAAATAGATGCTGTCTGTCCACGAATAGCAGATACCTTGCGTGCTTCTGAAAATGGGAGAAAATTATCGGTTCATTTGCAAAAAAAGATCGACTGTTCCGTAGAAATGCTTCAGTTTCTGTCTATACGGGAATAGGCCCACCAGAGGCCGAGCGGTAAAGTCGCTGAACACTGGTAGTTCGGCCCGAGGTTCGAATCCCGCGAACGGGCTGGCTGCATGGGCGTTTTCGTGGTTTTCCCCATGTGTAACGTGTATACAAGCCAGTTTCCCTTAGAAAGTCCTCCACGAAGGCATCCCTCCTCTTAGGCAGATAGCCCTCGAGGCTTTGCCATAATTATACACACACACACACGCACACACACACTATACGAGAATATCCCAAAATCGTCTCTTTTAACGTATATAATGAATGGAACTTCGTGGCATGGCTCTAATAATGGAAACCATGTCAAATGGTGTTGCTCTCTGAGTGGACGAACAGTAGCTTTTCATACTACGGTAATTTAGGTCGCATGATAGGTTTTGTCAAAAATTTCTTAAATGTATATAGGTTGCAGCCTTAAAAAAAATAGACACTTTTAGAGTTTTTCAAGCATTTGCTCCATAGTGCATTTGAAGTACACGGTTAAAAGAATATATCTTTAAGTTAACATGACTGAGTTACAAATGCTCTCTATGTGATTATTTTATAATAAAGCAGATGTCGATGCGATAATCAATTTCTTCCCAGACCCGCCTCTGCTTGTCCTTGTCAGTAATCACAACAGCTATTAAGATGGGTTGTTTAATATCGCCCAGCATTGCAGAAAGGGAAGAACAAAGATTCTGTTTTCGTATTTCTCTATAAAGTGTAGTCACAGGGTGCTAAATCCGGACTTCTTGGCGGCCAGTAATGTTATGGGCCGTTGAAAGGCCAATCGTTGCGGCAGATTTTCGTCGATGCCGTTGCGTAAAGCAACCCTATAAAACAGTAACAGAATTTGTTCTTGCATATTCAAGCAAACGAATTTTTTTTTTTTTTTTTCCTAACAACCATAGTACTAGGCCGAGGTTAAGAACGATCACTTTATGCTTTCATCTAGGAAAAAAAAAAAAAAAAAAAGAGAGAGAGAGAGAGAGAGGGGGGGGAGATTGTAAACTTGAAAGTCTCTTCTCTGAAGCGGTATTAAATGTTTCCTAATTAAGAAAATGAAAACAAAATCGATGTGTAAGCATTTAATCTTATTTCTTTTAGGCTAAACCAGTATTTTTCTATGAGCTCCTTAGGAAGAAATTGAGAAAAATGTTTTGCGTAGCCCAGTTGGTCCCAGCCCTCCAAAAAAAGTATCCCGTGAGTGAAGTTATTTGATATCATTTATTAAAAGTTTTTGAAACCGGATATAGTCATTACTGAAAATGTTTTAGGCACGTTAAATTCTTGATAATAGTTTTATTTGTGGTAGACAAACATTTATTTCGAAGTATTAGTTTTAAACTAACATTTGTAGAAATGGTTATAATCAAGGTTTTGTATTTAATGAAATTCAACTTTATATGACTCGTAAATTTACTTTCTACTTCTAGTGAATAGGGTTATAAGTCATCATTTTTACATTTTTATTTCAACGTCAAATCTGCATGTTGTAAAATTACCCCTTCTTGTAAAAATATTTAGTAGGATAAGGAAAAATTTTTATTTGGAACCCATGTAGCTGTTTTAAGTTTGTATATTTTTAGGGGGAAATGTCTCTTGACGAAAGTTAACCATAATCAGAAAGTCTGCGTTATTTAATTCATTTCTTGAACTGAAACTACTCGTCAAGAATCAACCTTCAAGTGGTATTTAATTCTACAATCTTTTTTGAAATAGTTTTTCGATCCTTTAACTTTATGATATTAATCTCTTATTGTGCCCCTTATTAAATAATTTGTTTTCTTTCTCTTTCAGAGCTGGTATTTTTTCAGATATGACTGAATACTTAGCCAAGCGGCATTCCCGACTGTTAGTAACATGGAAGTATTTTCCGCCTTGAGACGATTACCGAGACGGACATTTTTATGTATATATATCCTGTGTGCTATGTTTGCTGCTTGTGCCTTTTACACACTTTACGCTGATGCAGAGCGCACTGTTATCATTTCTACAGTCGCCAAAGATATCGCAACCGACAACATTCCAACTCCATCAAATCTGAGACAGGCACTGCAGAATAGGACAAGATACGCCATTAAATCTGGCGCAAGTCATGAACTGAAGGGTTTCAAATCACGCACATCTTGGACATTTACACTTCCAGAAGCTTTCAGAATATCCAGTAAAGGCATTCATAACAAAGTGTCCAATATTTTCATTAATGAATCAGATCATAACAGAACTATGATCGCCTCACTTATCAAAAGTACAAGATACCTTTATTTGGACAACATGGCCACCCCAACAAGTTCTTCCTCATCAACTTCAGCTTACACGAGCACTTCTGCTACTCCAACAGATACCTGTCAGACTTCTGGCATGAAAGATTCGAAACTGATTCTTCTTTGGACTTCCTTCTTCGGAAACTGGAATTACCTGCCTAAAGAAAGATTCTCTCATTGCCCTAGGTGCCGCAATTGCCAAGTCACTTCTGATAGGTCACGTTTGCAAGAAAGTGATGCTGTGATATTCCATGCCAGAGATATGTCCATTGCCGATTTGCCACACATCAGATACCCTCACCAAAGATGGGTTTTTTATTGCCTAGAATCACCGCCCCATTCTGATTTTTCTGGCTTACAGTATATGAATCATATGTTCAATTGGACAATGACATACAGGGCTGATTCTGATATTCTCGCTCAGTATGGAACCGTTGTAAAGGTATGTATTTGCTCATTTGTATTCATTTCCAAAATAAACTGGAGTTGCACGAAGTTAAGGCTTGTGTCGATTGCATCATAAATTAAAAGAAAATTCGTATGAATACATACGTCAATATATTACGTTCGGTTGCAAGATTTGAATAAGCTGTAATTTTTTTTTTCCTTTAAACGGTTTGAAATGTATTTATCGAAAGTTATTTAAGGAAAGAAAAGAAAATATTCACTTTAAACAAAGGAAATGGTAGGTATGTATTTTCTACCAATAAGTTAGTTCTTGAAAGAACCTGTCTTTACTTTTCCTGTAGAGTGTCTTCTGCCCGTGCTGAGGAGCTTTGCTTTTAAAAGACAGTTAAGTCGTAAATTTTATTGCGCAATCTACGAAAATAAGAACAATCAACGTAATAGTACGATAATATAATAATCAATATCAGGATCGTAGTTAATGCAACGTAGTAAGCATAATATTCATGATAAGAGGAAGGCACCCCCTTAAATTTCCCATCCATAAATGATAGGAAATCTTCGTAGTAGTATTTTTTAACAAGCGCTTGTACCGTCTCTTTCATATACAAGGAAAATTCTTAAGTAATATATGTATGTACAGAGTGTCCCATAAATTTTACATTTTTTTTGGGGGGGGGGAAGTCTAACGTGGACACCACATAACTTTCTTCTACGGCCTCTTAAATTGCATACACTTTTTCCTGCATTTCATTTAAACTTATTTCTTCGAATTTTATTAGCTATATTTCTCATTCAATTAATTAAGGTCTCATTTCGCAACAAGGCAAAAATACATAAAAGCTCAAAACATGTTCATTAAAAATCGCAAAATACAGCAAAACCTAAAACGTCAAATTCAGTTAAAAACCGTTATTTTTATCCCAATTAAAATTAGAGTTTCTATGCAAAAACAAGCAATTCGGCCTGCGAGCATGAAGACAGATTTTTCGGTAAACAAAATTGAAAGTTTAGTTTTGGCTCCAATCGTCAGAAAGACACTTAAGTGGGTGCATAAACTGAATTCACTATTCCATTAAGAGTTCCAAATGCAAGCAAATGCGGCCTCGTTAAGGTTTAACTACTTGAACTTTAAAACTGTTGATAATTCTATAACTATTGCATGCAGGTTAACTAAAGGCATAAAAACGTTAACCTGAACATAAGAACAACATAATTCAATCGCTTTTAAAACAAAATATGCATGGTTTAGCAACAGATAAGAATAAAAACTGAGCTATTGAGCTATGCGAGATAACGTATGTACGTAAATGCGTAATATAAAAATCTCTTCTGAATCTATTTTACAAACAGTCCAGGAACAGGATAAAACAGGAAAAAGAGTCCTTTAATCTCTTCTTAGGTACAGGTATCACGCAAAAACATCAAGAACGGTGAAAATGAATATTTTCGTTGAAATAGGATACCCGAAATTTTTCGCGGTTGCAGTGCTTTCTTTACTTTTACAAGAAAGTAAAAATTAAATTCAGCAGATAGGGTGTCTTAAGTGCGATTTACACCGTAAGGTTTTATCACAGAGACGTTTTTTTAAAAATCATGAACATACGCTACTTGTTAATTCAAATTTTCGTCGATAGAGTGTGCCATATGATGAATATCGCAAAACTGGGAACTTTTAAATCCTGCAAACGATGACACGCTATTTGGAACTTATCATGAATGTCTGTTACTAACAGCAATGTAAAATTCCTGCAAATGTAAACAAATAAATGGCGTATAATCTTAATTTGTTCTCATTCGAATCTGTAGTACAATGATAATACAGTGAAATTTTGAAACAAAATATGTATTATACCAAAACAAAATTCACTTTGATATGTTTTAAGCGCACACCGCAATCTGATGCGCCAGTTTGTTGATGCTGTCTGTATCTGTTGATTGTATTTGTTGAGCCCTTGTAACATATATTTAGGGAAATTTTGCAATCGTTATAAAAATAAAACTAAAAAGATTAACCTCATGCGACCAAAATTCTTGGGCCTGGTGAGGACTTTCCAGGACTCTGCGTATGATCGAGTAGTGTGTCAAGAAGATATAGATAATTTTATTTTTAGTCCAAAGGGGCTTTGTCTCTGAAGGATTATTGTTTTCGTCCTTGCTATTACTATTGTTTTCGTCTCGTATTGTTTCGTTCTGATTTTGTGTTGAATCACTATAAATGTCCGTTTCACTTTTCAAACTGTTGCCACCAAATGTTAGAGTCCTGCATTATATTTGAAGAAATTAAGTAATGAAAAATCTGCATAAATGTATGTCTATTTGTCGCATTGTGATAAAACGACAACGCATGGAGACATCGAATTTTGAATGACGTAATCTTACTGCGAATATGGGCATGTGGAAGCCCAAATTTGAAATTTCGAATTTGTTTTATTATCGATTTCATATTTTTTAAAATTTTAACGCATTTTTGAGTAACAAACTCTACGATTTGAAAGCGAGCAACGGCAACAATCTAGGGGGGGGGACTTTTTATCTCAAGCGCGCGGAATTCGAAAATTCTAAAGATAGGCTCATTTTAAAGTTATTTTGCGACATTGTATTGAATTGAAATTTATGGTTTAAGTGCGAAGAATATGATATTTAATAAAGGTAACACACAAAACGTTAAAAAAACGCCTCTTTGGACGTAATTTAAAATCTGAACCCTTTTATTTTTTTTTTTTTTTTTTTTTTTTTAATATATTTATTTTTCCTACAAATCTCGGGAAATAACATAAAGAGAAAAATTACTTCTATCGGAAACATAGCTTTGGACTCTTTTATAACATGATCGTGAAATAATTGCTCAGTCACATCAGCGTTCTTTATTTTAATGAATTCAGTTATTGTATTCTTTAATACAATTTTAGCTTCTCTTTTCTTGTTTACTTCTAAAAAAGGCGTGATTCGTTTCCAAAGCAGTGTTTCTGAGGTCTCGTGTAGATGAATGTATTTGAAGTGAAAATTTGTGAGACAAGGTGCTACGCTTTTCTTATACAATATCATAAGATTTCTATACGCCACGGGATAAGAGTTATGTAGTACCTTTTGAGAAACTTTAAACTCTAGAATCGCTCCATTTTCTGAGAACGCTCTGCTGTCATTTGGGGTTGTTGGTACATCGCATCTTGAAGCGCATCACTTATTAACATTTAGATAGTCGTCAACACGTTCAAAGTTTTTTTACTATCTGTCATCAGTGGCCACCAACGCTTTAAAAAACAGAATTTATCATTTCTTATATATTTCCAGTGTTTAGGATTGGGTTAAAAATATTGCTGTTGTTATTTGGTTATTTCTTAAAGCAGAGGTGACAGTTTTAGTACTTTTGCTCAAATAATTTATTAGCTATTTTTATAACTTTTAGTAGATACTTCTCAAAGGCATAATGTATTTTACTGAGAAATATTTTAATATTTTTAATGGCCAGAATTTCGCGTAAAAATCGTGATGCAATAGTTGTAACAATGCACTTAGCTATAATACATGCATTTTATTGTAAATATGCATTGTGCAGATATAGTACAATATATGTAAAATTCGTTAATGTGTAATTTTAGCTAGTAAGTTTTCTTTTCAGCTTTCTCCCGCAGAAATTGCAACATGTTTATTAAATAAACCACTCTAAAATGTGTAATTTCAAAATTAATCTTTATCATTCGATCCTTATCTAACGTAAATGGCACTTGCATTTACATAATGCCTTAGCCAATAATAATACTAAAATCTACAAACTAAAATTAGCTAGTATGAATAAAATAAAACCGTAGCTATATTTTCTCAAACTAACTGCGTGTTTAAAATCTATATATTTCTTCTCTCGCTTGCCCCTCTACTAACTAACATGTTGTCGTTTGTCCTTTTTATATAAAATATATTGTTATAAAGATGTGAAAAAGCATAAAAATGGTTAATTACGAACGGGAGTAAAGAGTGTTCTTTGTTTGGTTCAAGAATGTTTCATAAATAGGAAAAGCGATGTCAATCTGGCCACGGTTGGTTTTACATCTTTATGCGCCAGCTCCGTCAGCGTTCATTTATGTCATGCTTGAAAATGTTTGGTATTTCTGTGTTTTAGTCGCCTTCGCGAGAAGTAGACATTCAACGTTACAACTAAAAAATTCAATCAGTGTCTGAATACATGATTTATTTAATATGCACATGCAGAAGCAATTGAATATAAATTTGTATTCGTTCTTTTATTTAATATAATTTTGTAAGCAATTTGTTTGAAATGAACAGTATATAGAAACTATCCGAAAATCATTTTAAATAGGCACTTATTGTTTTAAATGGTTAATTTAAGTTTCTGTTGCTGTCAAAAATGCGCAAACACGTTATCACAGCCAACAGGATCTCCAGATATTTCTTTTCCCTCATGCAGTTGCATATCATGGCCATTTCCACAAAATCTTTTGCAGCATAAGTTACGTTTATTTTCGGAGAAGAACTACAGCATTTTTTCACGCCGCTGAAAGGTTGAAAATGATAGGCATATTAAATACCTAGCTAATGAAAATGAAAAAACGTTTTCACTAGCTGAAAAAAAAAAACATAAACTTATTTGCACCTGACCTCATAGCAGCCGCTGAATACCGGTAGTTCGACTTGTGTTATAATACTGTACTAACATTATAGTTGTGTCATACTGCTATATGTATGTATTTGTACTGGTGCACCAATACTTTGCCAATGCACAATATTTTAAGTACTTATGTTATCAATTGTATTATATATTGTACAGTATTTTCTTTGTATATGTGTACTAGTTTATTGCCATACATCTGTTTTCAAATGAGTACAAATGAGTTTCAAATGAGTTTTCAAATGAGTAAAAGTATGTTTGCAACAGCGTATTACTTCCAGACCCCTTGAAAAGACAGCTGCGTTTTTAAACCAAGCCCTAAAGAACAGCACATGTATTGCTTCCTTTGGCTAATAGTAGAACAATCAAAACAGACTGCTATAACCGCAACGGAAGACTTCACTCCTTACACTGTGTTTTCGTTGTCCTTTGCTATAAAGCTGCCTCTCTTTATACGGACTTGCGAACAAAATTAGAATCATTGGCAGGGTTTAAACAGGCTGATAAGCAGAATCTCCTAGTGGAGCAGCTGGCTCTGTCGGTGGAGTAAAGTAAAGTTCTACTTGTGTTCGAGCCCGAGCGAGCAAGCTGGCTGCATGGTTGGTTTTCGTCGCCGTCTCCATATGTAACGTAAATACAGTGTGATTCTAAATTGCTTTTACAAATTTAGGGGGGTGATAGTACCCATCCAGACAAGCAATAATTACCATAGAACATAGAGTCGCATTCCACACTGAGAGGCAGAAAAGAGGAATATTGTAATTCCAATCTGAACATACAGCAGTGTTGGGAAAGCGAATGAACGAGACCAAAAGTTGCTCAATCAGATATATTGTTTAGTGAAAAACTTACATAAAGCGCTCAAAATGCCGACTAAGCGTGTCGTTGCATAGTTGACATCAGAAGGAACGACTGGCGTACCCTCCGGAAAATTTCTGGTGTTGTGTTAATTTTGTCCGTGGCCACAACGATTCTCACCATGAGATCTTCAGCTGAGTCCACAGGCGTTTTTTAGACTAAAGATTTCATCTGTCCCCAGAAGAAAAAGTCCAGTGGGTTGAGTTCCGGTGAGCTAGTAGGCCAAGCCACAGATCCGCCACATCCCATCCATCGTGCGGGATATGTGGCATTCTAAAGGTTACGGACCTCTCGTGCATAAACCACGTGTCTCTCTGAAGGGGAGTGGAACTGCAATAAGCTGGAAAGTACTTGTTCGAAGAAGCTACAGTATGTTACGTCGGTCAAACGGTCTGGCATCATGTAAGGGCCTGCCAGGTTAATCACCTAGGATACCTGCCCTAATACTGGAAGCGATGAAGTGGCTTTTTCAAAGACACCGTTTACTCCGATTGGTTTTCTCCGATACCAATTAAGAGCAAAATGCTGCTTCTTCTCAGTGCAAAATTGCCATACTGTTAATTCTTTATAGTATTAGGAGATAGTCTTCTTGTCCTTCCTCGATGCGTCTATACTTTCCTCTTTTCTGCCTCTCAGAGAGGAATCGACCCTATGTAATTATTGCTCGTCTGAATGGGTACTATCACCCATCTTAATTTGTAAAAGCACTTTAGAATCACCCTGTATAAGCCGATTCCCTTAGAAAGCCCTCCACAAAAGTATCCATTCATTAAGCAGATAGCTTTCGCTTGCTTTTCCGTGTTCTAATAGTCTACGTGCGCATTTGTAGATCGGTAACACTTTGTCTCCGGCAAAGCTGAAAAGTACCAATTCCCCTTTCTCCCTAAGCCAACTATAACATGGGGGAACCAATATTTTTCATCACATATATACGTAAGATAAGGAATATGTAAAATGAAATCTAACTTTAATTTTTAGTAACCACTGAAGTCTCCTATTTAATTGGGTTATTTCTTCTCTCTGCCCTAAAAAGAGAAACAAGCCTATAATAAAACTTTCTGAATTTAGCCATGTCGAATTTAGTCTGTATCATATGATTCTTTGATAACGGTAATGACGCTTCTTTTTTCAAGAATATTAAAATTTGCAAGTAAAACCAAATTAGCGGATAAGAATTAAGTCAAACCAAAACTCTTATAGTTCTTAACCAAACATTCATATTGTGATCCCTGTATTTCTTTTCCGCTTCGCTGTCTTGCCTGTCGCAGTTTTTCTTGGTTATTTCAAAAATGTGAAAAATAAAACAAACTTATTAAAGAACAGGTACTTGCCTTGAGCCGGCTTAGCAGTGTATGTCTGCATTAAAATTTCCTAGTGACTAATAAAAGATACATTTAAGCGCCCATGATTGCTGCTACATATTTATTCACTAACTCCATCGTGATGCATCTACATTTTCAAAATTTTTTCCAATAATTTTTACCACATTCTGTGGACTTCTGCTTCCTTCAAAACTTGTTATTTTGCTGACTGTTTCATGCTGTCGTAGAAATTTTAGTCCCACTCCATTAGAGGGACCTCTTTATTTGGAAAATCATCCTCATTATAACTTGTTCTTCATGGGGAATGAAATCTGGACTGTACGGAAGATGCTTTAATATAATAGCTTTTATTTGCTAAACAATCGGTGCAGTATTGGAGCGATCTGCTGGAGGGTTGTTTCCAAGTGTTTATCTTTAAGTATGAACTAGTGTCTTGAAAGCTTGAAAAACTCTGGGAAGCATTCCCCCCCCCAACTGTGCATTCACTTCGCTATGATTGCCATCTGTATTTGCAGCATCACGCTTTGCCCAACTTCTTTGATTTTGAAGATGTTCACCATTCTTTATATGTAGATCTCGATTTTTATGCAGCCACGGGAGTATATGCAACCTCAGACACCCAGATTTTGAAATTTTTCAGGTGTATCTTGGCGTATCAATATAATGAAGCTAGATTTCGTCAATTGTTACGATGCTTTTGACATAGTCCTTCCATTTTCAAATTTCTTGAGCATGACATGCCACCGTGACATATCGTGCCATCTTACTTAAAGGCAGTGATAACAGATCAGGTGATTTTTCGCAAATTTGCTATTCTTCATAATGTGTGCTACTAAAATTTATGACTACGCGATTTTGCGAATTTTCTGCTACTTTATCACTTTTTTTGTGCTGCTTTTTGCTACTGTAAAAATTTGACAATATATCGCAAAATGCTTATATGTTAAAAGTGATGCGTCTATTAAAATGAATTTGTAATAAAAAGTATTAATTTATTTATGGAGTGATTATACTGCAATCGATTCACCAAATCATCGGGTCCACTGCAACTGCTGCAAACTTGGGACTCTTAACAAAACTGCGAATTCGTTGGAACCTTAGAATGGCGCTGAACAATGATAACAATAACCGATAAATATCTGAAAATTACATTACGTAAAATGTGTTTTGCTATTTAGTCGCTATTTTTTCAAAAACAAACTTTTTTCGCTAAGCCATTAACGGAATTCTGTCTGTTTGTGCCGTTCTAAAACTTAGATATTTTCGTTTGATGCGCATCAAATTAATACACGGTTAATAGGTACCGAAAATTATGCTTATTTGAAATCAGGCTCATTCTGAATTACTTTTTATAATTTGTATGTTTTCTGAATATTTGGGGGTAGGCTACATAAAATAAATTGAATATGTAATTTTTTTTTATAAACAGTACAGTTAGTTATTTTATGTTTCAAACAGAATCATGGGATTTATTTGTTAAAATTTATATCAACGTAAAAAAATATAAGATAAGATACAGGGAGAGGATTAATGAAAACGAAATGCAAGCTGATCATAAGAAAACTTCTCCGATATGTGAACCTTTTGCGGCATGTCCGCTGAACCGAATGAAATGAAGCTTAAATGTGATAATTAAAAATCAAATATGTGATGATATCTGATTAAAAATCATATCCGATTGTTAAAAACAATAGAGCTGTCACGGTTACAGTGAAAATATTTCAAATTGCAACCCCCACCCTTTTTTCTTGCGCAAATTGATCAGTGCATTGAAAAAAAAAAAAGAAAACATAAATAGCATTAGAACGGTACTCGTGTGACAAAAATGGCCGGGGCAAAACATTTGCAAAAATAATTTACATAAAAGAACCAATGACAGCACAACTAAGGAAAAGGAAAAAACTTTTAATATCGCAGGAGGAATCAAGCTTTGTGACATCTTTCAATTCTGACAAATCTCGGGGATTTGACGTATACACCTTAAGAGCCGTTCCCACTGGGGTTTATCAGTCACCACCGGAACACCTTTTCCGGTGGTGTCGGTTTATCTGAGCTAACGGACACAAGTGACGTAGCCGACCTATCTCCGAAACCAGTTTTTTCCCATAGGGCAGCAAGTTGAAAAATCTGAACTGCAGGCATAGCGGAGTTAGTCGACACATGGAACTGACTGCGTTCTTAAAGTTTAAGCTCACAATTAAGAAATGCGCCTAATTCATCCATAATATCCGCAGCGGCCGCCTCCTGTCTTCGTCATACTTTATGAGAAATGGTGATCTCTTCTTTGCAAATGTTTTTCGCCGTCCATGTATCGTTCCAAGCCATTTATGATTTTTCAGACCGTTGATCACTTTGCGTAGGAGAAAAGTGGGTGTTGTCATTCGAAATTGTTAAGTTTTTTCACTCTAACCTTAACGGTGAGAACTCTGTTGTTTTAAATCATCACAATCTCAAGCGCATACTTTCAAATAACAATATCTGTAATTTCATTTCGGTGAGTTAATCTGATGCGTCGCTAGGGGTTCATATATCGGGAAAGATTTTTTTTGATGACCACTCTATGATTACCCGACATGAAAGATAACAGTTATACAATTTTCTAATGTTAGTTGCATATCCAAGAACCTGACAAACGAGCAGAAGAATCAGATACTAATATTATATTTGGATCACATAATGCATTATACAGAAGGAACGCATGAACTTCTGGTGAACGTTATATTATCGGACGACTATCTGTAGTGCCCTGAAAAAATTCTTGAATGACCCACTTCAAGTGAAGAAGTTCACAATCGATTATCCGCAGTTAGCTCGGCACCCAGGAAAGGGAAATTTATGAAACAGGTACAATGAAATTTTGGCAGAAATGCTTCGAGTGTCTTACTTCTTATACTGAAAAATAGAAGTCTCTCTGTGAAATGTATATTGTTTTACTTCTTAAAATTTTTGTTAATGACGAAAGTAGTATACGTTACTTTTTAATCCTGTCTTGTATCTCTATGTTGTCTAAGTTTTTGTAAATTTTGTATTCACGTATGTAAATGAAACTGATGTTGCGAAAATAATTTTTTTTCCTCGCTCTCTTCTCAGGTCTGGCCACCTCGTAAATTGGATCTCCAGTCTTTGCAGTGGTCCTTCACAAACAAGTCCAAATCGGTAGCCTGGATGAGCAGCCATTGCCCAACACATGGTGGCCGTGATGATTTCGCCAAAGAACTGAAGAAGTACATAGACGTGGATATTTATGGAACTTGCGGCACTACAGTTTGTCCACCAGGAGCGACTGAAAAGTGTCTCCAAGAATTTGCTGAGAAATACAAATTTTTCTTGGCTTTCGAGAATACCTTGTGCAAAGACTACATCACCGAAAAGTTTTTCAGGACACTGCATTACAATATCATTCCAGTGGTATTCGGCGGGGCGAACTACCACAAATTTGCTCCTCCGGGTTCTTTCATAGATGCCCTCAGCTTCAAGTCACCCAGACATTTGGCATTCTTCTTGACTGGTGTTGGAAAAGACTTCAAGTTATATAGCAGCTATTTTCGATGGAGGAGAGATTATTCAGTGACACTTAGCAACCAGAAAGAATGTGATCTGTGTTCTATGCTACACCGCAAACATTCGAGTCCGTCCACGTATGAAGACCTTAGACAGTGGTGGGTGGGAAAATCCGACTGTAAAGTGTGGAAACCCAAGTAGTAGTGATGGCAAGTATAGGGTAATCGTAAAGTGCGCGAATTCAAAATTTGCAGTTTTTTATTATTATTTATTTTTTATTAAATGCGAATGTAATATTAGTACATCCTTTGTTGATATCTGAGCAAGACCTCAAGGAGGTGGGAAGTGACTACCATGGTATGGGTGATGAAATATCTATCTAATGTTGTGGAAGTCATGTGTGCAGACCCATGTTTTTTGCGTAACTGCTTTAGGTAAGACTTGGATTGACGTGTGTGTATTAACGAAAATATGCTATAGAAAATATACACTGCTGTAAACTGTTAGGGAATATTATCATTTTGAATATAAACTGTGCATGAAGAAAAAAATTGTCTAATATATGATCCGTAAGTATTGTAACCTATGAGGAAAAAAAAAAAGCATGTGCGAAACAAGGAGTACTAAAATTTTAACTGACTTTTTGTTGAAAGACTTTTAAAAAAAAATTAATGTTTTGTACATACGATCAAAAAAAACTGACTTCTTGAATAAAAGTGAGTAAACACTTTCTCTGCTACGTCCCAAAAATATCATTGCCCGCTAAGATAAAATACTGCATTTAAAACACACAAAAGAAAAGTATCGAGTCTTCTTTGACTTCTTATCCCTGGAAACTACCTTAAGTAAAAAAATCAGATTTCGCTCAGTCCGTACTACATAAAATTGAATAACATTGTACAAAAACGAAACAAAAAAAATATAGTCATGCGCAAAGAATAGATTTGTGAAAGGGATTTTAAAGGGTATGCCCTGCTCGAAAGGAATGCTGCTGTCCTCTGAGGCGTTGAGTGAATGAGGTTATCAAGGAGTTAGGGGAATATACTTTCTCAATAGGAGAGCAGATTCTAGTTGCTGAACCTTTTTGAAGGGGATAACCGATGAGTGATCCTTCTTCCTAGAATGATGCAAACACGTACAGTTGAGTTCATAACTAAAGAACGTACTGGCCAATCCATTCGAAGTATTCCTTTGTCGGAATAATAATAAAGGAAGTCGTCTAGCAGCCCTGCACTTTGTGGCTTGACATTATCACTTGTGGAAATAAATTCATTTCAGATTACTCCAGCTTAAAGGACCAAAATTGTTTGAGTATCTTATCGCTAAATCTATGAGTCGTCAGTCATCCATCTCTGATTATATACTATCAGTATGACTATTAATAGAAATGCTGGTCGAATAGTTCGAGTCGAAACTCGTGCCACTAGCCCTCAGAAGGTGGTATTTCTTACTGAGGTTTCTTCCGGCGTTAGTGTAGAATGCCAGGCCTCATTTTATGTTTAACATATATGATCTTCTTGCCTTTGCTTAACATTTCTAGTTTCCAAACTTTCGAACGACCGATGGTCCTTCAAGATTTAGTTAGCTGATGTTGTTGAGACACCGTATTCACTGCTGCGAAGCATTCAACACACAGTAATTATTTCTTCTCTTCTACATAAAGAAAGATGCAGCTCGCTTTTTCACTTCTTATCGAAAACTTGTAATTTGCAGTGTCACAGACAAAATTTGCATATTTCGAAGTTTGTAATTACGGTAACTATCCTTTTCAATCACTTTTATTTCATTCTTATTTAAAAACATTGTATGGTTGTTTTACACCACACTTAACATATGCCCTAATGTTTTTAGCCGTGTGTACATACATACACACAGCTATTAAACATATATTTTATATACTTATATAAAATAAGAAAAGTAAATTGCAAGATTAAATTAAAATTTTCGTTCAGATGTCAATCTCAGCCAGAGGCTATTGGTTATTATTCTATTCTTACACTAATTTTGCAACTGTTTATTGTTTTTTACAGTAATTTTGTTTTTGCTTTTAATTTATCAGTTCATAAAATTGCCTGTTTTTGTTATAATTTGGGTTAATTACATATAATATACAAAACAGGAGGCTCACGAAAGGTAGTGCTCCTAGCTCCAACGATGTACCTAACTCCCGCTGGCAAAATGTCGACCCAAAAGCTGTAAAGATTCCAAGCCACATACGAATTTAATTACTTTAATTTATTCCTGACATTGTGCTAGTACACAACGTGACATTAGGAAGTTCTTCAATCGCGCTTCTACGGGTACTCTGTGAAATGTTTGCGTAGAAAGCAGTGTGTAGTTTTTTAATTCATAATTCGGGAATTTTACGATTACCCTAGGTAACAATACTTTTTACCTTGAGCAGGAATATTTTTGTTCCATTGCAAAGTGACAATTTTGTAATAATTGTAAATTAAAATAGTTGAAAGTAATAGTTGAACATTCTTAAATAGCCAATATTTGGAAGCGACCCAGTTGCTTCATTCTAATAACTGGCTGTTTTATGCTCCCGTGCCTATCGGTATAAAGTGAGTTTTTATGTGTAATTTTTTATGCTGTTCCTAATATTTCTGTTTAAAATGCTAACTTAAGCTTTTTAAAAACAGCAGTAAAAGATTTTATAAAAATGCATTTTTAACTCGCATGCTTGCACCTAACTTGGAAGAAAGATGATTTATTCTGTACTCCCATTTCTGTTTTTGAAAGATTGCTTTGTACTATGTTTTTGTACTGCTGGGCGAATATTCTTTTAACTGGAATTGTGAGCGAAGAAGTGTTAAAACAATAGGGCCCCGAAAGTAAACCGGCAATAAATAAATCTCAAATTTCATTTATCTTCGTACTAACTAATGTTGAATTTGTTCCATTATAGAGCACGCTCACCGAATATTTGTCTAACGAAAGATTTGAAAGTTACTTGCACCATCTTTAACTGTTGGTCGCCATTAAAGATATGTCATTCTGTTTCGTTCTTTGTTTATTGAAATAAATAATGTAAGAGATATTTCTCATGTTTAGAAATTTTTATCGTAGTTGAAATGAGCTGATGACAAAAGTATATTTTCTTACCTAGAAGCATCAAGTGGATGCATATACCTTTAAAGAGAAAAATATCAAAGCAATTAGTATTATTACCAATAACCATTTGGCATTTGTTGACTAAGAATTAATTAATTTTATAAGCTTTTCTAAGAAATGAGAATCTCCCCTTGGATTTGGTCCCATTTTTGTTTGCAGTTGTTTTTCGTTTAGGATATACTTTGGAGATCGGGTAATGTAAATTCTGTTGGCACGATGTCAAGACTACAAACCGTGTAAGGCAACATTTCAAAGCGTAACTCCCTGTTTTTTAAGTGATTAACTCTCGAAGTTTGCATTATCACGAAGAAGAATAGAGTGATTTCGAGAACTTTTCTAGCGATATTGCTTCCGCCATTCTCTTCAGTTAGAACCTGTTCGTTAATCAAAATCTTTTAAAATGCATATATTACCTATCCAATCCTGCCATAGACACGACGACACTTTCTCTCGTTGAGTTTTGATCTTGAAGGTGGATAAGTTTTATTTCTAGAAAAGGTCTTGATAAGTAGGCTTTCTTAAGAAAACCGGATCTGATGGAAGAGAAGCTTACTCCTGCAACACTTTCGTGTCTCATGTAGTTAGTTTGCAGTCATAATACGGTTAACTTTTCTTTTACTACTGAACTGTGGACACCAAATCATCGGCTCGATAACTTTCCAATGGTGTGTAGATAGTCACGGAAGTTATTTCAAGGCCTGCAAGGTGTAGTTTCTCGTAACGATTATAAATCACACCAAATCTGACTTAAGTAAATTGCCATTTTCTTTTCGGGGTCTCCTTTAAATATTGCTTCCGACTATAGTACAAAAGCAGTAGATTTCTGTACAGTAATTTTTTTTATACCTCATTCAAAAATACGTGTATAATATGCATAATAACTTCCTTTCCCCTCACATTACTTATATATCCACTTCCTTTGTGTTAGCGAACTTTTAAAGGAATGATGAGCTATTTTTCAAATATATGATCACTAGTTCATATAAATAATGCATAATTTTATTTAAACTTAAATATTTCGTAAGGTTTGATTTTCTCGCATAGTTTCTTAAATGTTTGACCAACCTGGCTAACATTTTCACTTATTTCATAGAGCTCAGGGCAATTTCACTTAGTATTTTCATTATTTCCAAACAAAATCAAACACATTTTGTCACTACACTCAGAATGAGTGACTATTTTGATTATTCTTACAAATGGCTTTCATGTAAATATTTTATTTAAAAATATAGTTTTGTGTCCTTTTTTATAGATATTGAATATATGTCTGCTTCCAAATAAAATATTTGTTGAAGTCGCTGCATTTTCTTTTATTGGGTAATACATTTTTAATAACAATATATTTTCCTAGAAATGCTTCACTTAGTCTCAAGAGATTAAAATCGTTGCAGCTCTTGTAGTTCAACCTGTATTCTAATCTCGGTGAAAGGGTTAATTGCATTCGGCACTTCATTAATTTCCCTTAACGTGAATAAAACCCAGTTCCCCTTAAAACATATCCCACGAAGACATCTTCCACTTGAGCTGATAACACTGGATTGCTTTGCCGTATCCATTTAAACAGTCATGTAATAAGTGTGCATTGTTTAATTTTGCGAATTTGTTGCTACCTGGCAAAATAATTTACTGCTGGCATACCCCATCCCAAACAAAATAACTCTTAATATATTTATCGAAAATGTACTTTGATGGTATAAAGAGTTGTGCATTATGTAATGAAACGTCTAATGATTACAAAAATGAAACGTGAGTAAAGCATGTTTGAAAATGTCTTTAAATAGTGCTGAATAAAGTATTCATTAAGACAGTTTCGTACAACGCTTTAATTAAATAAGAACAAAACCGCGTTCATGCAGAAGTATACAACGAGAAAAAAATTAGAAATTTACAATTCACTAAATCACATGCGCGTTGAAAACTGAATTTAAGATTAAATTTACCTTACATTTAAGAATGGTTTTGAAATGAACTAAAAATATATGGAATGTGCTGCATTTGACTGACATGACTTAATGAATTTGTTATTGCTGACTGAACAAATGCTTCGCCATGCCTGCTAACATGTAATCGAAGTGCCATGAAACGGTAAATTCGCGCCCCAGTATAAGTGCAAATCAACTATATCTGTATGTTTTTTAGTAGATGTTTTAGATAGTCGCGTCACAAGCAGTCGGAAGAGTTCTTATTATATACGGTTGCAAAGCAGCAGCATTAGGTGTCCGTGGTGGGCAAAGCTTGCAGTGAAGGAGAATGAACGAGAGGCCTCCGAGTATACCGCCTGTTTAAAACACTGAGAGACACGCAATTCCCACGATAAGTAGCTGTTACGAGGAACGTAAAGCCGGAGGAAGAAACTGTATAGTTGAGTTCGTCAATTTGCTTTTGGACAAGTTTGCAAGAATTTTTTAATCAATCAAAGTTCTCAAATGAAAACACTCAAAACTTTTTCGAGTTAAATTCTTTTCAAAATAATTTTTATTTACCTTTTGGTTTTTATTAAACCTTAATTTCTTCTTTTTCTTATTTGGACTTTGCAATCTGGAATTTATGTAGTCTTCAAGTTGTAAATTATTATAATAAAATTTATTTAAAGGAACATGGTTGTTCCTTTAAATAAATGCATAAATTAACCTCTTATGGTGTATAATTAACAAAACTAGAATCTTATACTACAACTTAATAAGTAATTCGGTGTAGTTCAAAATTAAAATGTATAAGAACTTATAAAGTATTTCTCCAGCCTTCCTAGCGGGCTTTCATGATGTAGTGGTCTTGCACGCTGGGTCGGTATTCCAGAGGTTCGCGGCTCGATTCCCGGCGAAGGCACTGCTCATTTTTCAAGTCTCCTGCTTCCAAAAAATTCTAATGTCTCTACAAACTTTTAATTGTGGGAAAGCATCATCGATGTCCTGGCAAAGACATTGCTTGTATCGTTAGTAGTATTTTTAGTTTAGTATGAACGCACTCTATGAGTAAAGCTTTACTTTCTGTTTGAGATATTATTTAAAAAAATCTAGAAGTAAATATTGGACTTAAGGGGGCTCATACACCTTAAACCCCTTATGATCTTCGAATATGACTGTTGCAAGAATTGGGATATTTTATTTATTTTAAAAGCAATTACTTCCAATTTTTTACAGCTGACTACATAATATAGCTGCTTTGGGAACTAGTAACCAGAAAGTTATTTGTGCTGCCACAAAATATTTATGAAATTTAATCCGCTTTGTGACAAAATTTTTTGTCATATTTCCACCTTGCGCGCATGATATTTTAAAAATAGCTAACGGTACATACTTGAAATTTGATGAAATTCTTTATATGGGCACTATCTTCTAACTGAACCCAAAATATGGTGAATATTTCAATATTAAAACATTTTATGCACGAAAACATTAGATTTTTTTAATAAAGTACATTTTATACACTCAACTCGAAATAAAATAAAAATTTAACATGAAATTCTTAGAATCTTTGGTTTACAGTAGTTTCCAAATGTTATAATATCTACATATTAAATATAAAATCAAATTATGCAACAGAATGTTTTAAACGGTGCGCGGAAGGTGGAAACATTACTAAACATTTTGTCACAAAGCGGATTAAATTATAAAAATATTTGTGGCAACACAAACTTTTTGATTACTATTTCAGAAGCAGCTATATTATGTAGTCAGTTGTAAAAAGTTGGAAGTAATTGCTTTTAATATAAATAAGTTATCCCAATTCTTCCAACAGTCACATATTCGAAGATCATATGGGTTTTAAGGCCCACCAGCGGCCGAGCGGTAAAGTCTCTGAACACTGGTAGTTCGGTCCGCGGTTCGAATCCCGCGAACGGGCTGGCTGCATGGGCGTTTTCGTGGTTTTCCCCATGTGTAACGTGTATACGAGCCAGTTTCCCTTAGAAAGTCCTCCACGAAAGGCATCCCTCCCCTTAGGCAGATAGCCCTCGTGTGCTTTGCCATAATTAAATACACATACACACATATGGGTTTTAAGGTGTATGATTCCTTTTAAAGAAGTGAGATGCTATAAAATCAATATTTTTAATTTGGTAGTTGGATTTTACTGACCAGTTTTCTTCCGAAATTATACTATTTCAAATTATTGTCATTTAATAAACCGAGTGTGTTTTTAAGTTTACGAATTCTCAAACATTCTTTTTCTTAAGAAGATATTATTTCACTTTTCGCGTATGATCGCAGAAATGAAACTTAAAGTAATTGAAATTTTTTAACATGGTACGTCATGAATACTGATATTTCATTACCGATGCAAATTACCGTCAGCGATACTCTCATCTATCAAACTACGTATTGCTTCTAATGCTTAGCGGAATGTTACCGCAATTTTAAGCCATGAAATGTCGAAAAAGTTTTCCAGAAATAGAATTTGTCTTCCGTTCCGTTCTCAGTGATTACGAGAGGGGCGTGGTCAGGCAAAGAGCAGAAAAAGGCCTTGCATGACATCCAAGCTGTGATCGATATTCCAATATTTCGGACCGCATTTGTTCATTGGGGCGGATGGGACCTCTCAAGATTTGGGTGACCTTGCATTAATAGCGGGACTTACTGAGAATGGGAAATGGACAGTGGTTATATTTTATTCAGAAGTGACAATCTTTACAAATTTATCACCTGCTTACGTTTGCAAGTTTCTGGATCTTTCCTTTTTTGAATCTATGAAAGTTCTAACCTTTCTTTTAATGCCCTAAAGTGTATGAAAGCTGCATTTACGGCAAGAATACCACAATTCAAAAGGATTTTTTGTGTGTTGGCACATGGCCACAAAGCATTATTTCCGTGTGCTCATTAGTATTCGATCGCAGATGCTTGTGAACCTTTTCACCTTTAAGCTATTGAAGGTCTGTCACGCTATGTTGAAGCCGTTCCGTGTGCATAAGTATGATAATGGCGGTGGCCCAAATTTTTAATGCCTTCAAAAAATTTTAAAAACATATATGAAGAATAGAACCATAGTTTGCTGACATTTTTACGACACTTAAAAAAATATTTTATTGTATTATTAGCAAATTTTAGTGTGAAAACCCAGATTTCAATGTGTGAGTATTTTGCTACTTGAAGCGCATCTAATCGATACTCAGTTTCTAGCCAGGTTCGCACCAAATCCGATTGTGAAACAGCTTCCGTTGCCTAGTTTATTCGTGTTTTGAGTTCTGTAATGCTTCTATCCATTTTATCTTGGATGTACTCTCATAAAGAAGAAACAAATGAATGCACTGTTTGGACAGCGAAGAAGTCACGAGATTGGATGGTTCACAAAAATTCTTATCTGTTGAGAAATTTCTTCTGCATTAAGTCTCACTCATTCTACCCTAATGGGTGTGGTGTCCCATCTTACTGTCGAATAAAGCATATTTGAATACGACCAGAAATCTTAAGTATAACTTGCATTTTGATCACATCTAAGTAGCTTGATCATTTTGTTTTGTGACAGCAAGTTCAATGGGAAAGAGTCAAATTATTTTTTTAATTGCTTCTACAATATCTATGAACTTGTTTTCCCTCTCTTCAGAATTAATATTATAAGTGTGTCCAGATATTTGGATACCTACATCTTGCTAACAAAAGTTAAAAGTTAGCATGCTGGATAAGAGAAGAAATACGAGTGACTCCGGAGTTGTAGACAATCGTTTACTTCTAAAATGATATACAGGGTGTTTCATAGATCATGGAACAAACTTGGAGGGTGGTGGTGCGTACTAAAACATGCATTTCTTGTATAGGAATGTAGAGTCTAAAGTGATGGGTTAAGGCAGGAAAGCAAAAAACGACACGAGAGGAAAATGTGTTTATGTACAAAATCAACGCAAACTGCTTCTTTGCAGCAACACAGTATTCACAGTAAATGCTCAAAAAAGGGAAAACTAACAGTAATACGAACTACAGCTGTGATTGGCTGGCAATGCAGCAGTAGAAGGCGGTAGTGAGCCGGACAACCACGGTCCAATGCATCATTCGCAAGTCTGATGTCGAGCGTGATGGGTGAGTTTACGCACAGGGAAAAAACTGACATGTATTTCATGTATGGTGCGGCTAATGGAAATGGCAGAGCAGTGCTACGGTTGTACCAGGAATGGTTTCCGAACAGGCGTATGCCGAAGCACACAATGTTCGAGAAGTTACATCGGTTTCTGTGAGAAAACGGGTCATTTTAAGCCACCTCTGACACTAGGAGTGGAAGAAGTGCACGACAACCTCACATTGAAGAATCCATCTTGAACAGTGTGCATGACTCACCTCTGACAATTACAAGAGCCCAAGCCTTGCAAGAGA